AAAAAAAAAGGAATGAGATATTTTTAACAAAGTTATCCTGGTTCCATAAAAAGAAAAAGAAAAACTTTGATTATCTTATGCCTCGGTAAACAGACCGTTTTACGAAATTAAAGATGATTCATGCTCACCATTTCCAGCATCTGATCTCTTGTGTATGACTCTGCAGAGATGCTTAGTAAGTCCATGACCTGTAGCAATTGGATTTTCAAGGTGAACGAACAGTTACATGTTTCAGTTAGAACTTTACCCAAGTCACATAATGATCACAATTAACTCCTAGCTATACCTAAACATAAATCCTATAAGGAAGTAAAATGTATAAACATTTACCCTCGGATGGAAAAGGTCCTCATATTTTGATGCCAACAACAGTGAAGTAAGGCCAACTAACTGCAAATCATTCTTCTTGACCCTTGCTAATGTTAAGTAGTAGTCCAGGAGTGTAACCATGAGAAATAGAGTTTCTTGCATCAAATCAAATTTCAAATGGACCTAGATAAAGAAAGTAAAGCCCTGAAAGTGGGACCAGAAAGTATGTGCAAGCAAAACAAAAATGAATAAATGCAGAATAACTAAGACATACTTCAATAAGCCAGTTGATCAATATGCCACGCATTTGGGGTGTTATTTCCTTCTGAGTCTCCATGTAGTTTTTGATAGGCTGATTCTGTGCCTGCAGTTAGAATCAGCTTAAGAAATTGGAGGTCGAGATATAAAAGCATGTCTTTCCTGGACAGAGGAGAGGGTAACTTGTGGTGTTCAAATGCGACGGATAAAAGTATAATATTAACTCACCTCTATAACCCAATAATACTGATAGATGTCATCAACATATTCTGTAACTTCAAGATGATTGCAACTATCATAAATGTTTGACAAATTGTCCAGCTCTACAGTTCCACATAGCTCCTTCATAAGCTGCATATTCATGTCAGCTGTCTAAAGATCTATGGAGGNGTCAGATTTCTTCCTGGCAATTGACAATTCCGGTGTAGCTAAGCTGCCACTACTACTAGAAGGAACTTCCTTTTGATGAGGTTGCTCAGCTGAAATCTCTGATGTTGCAGATTTTGATAGGGAAGATGTCCTAACATCCACCAGCCTTTTACATGGACTGGCAAATCGAGAGGTGCATTTGTGCACACCTGACATGGAGTTCGACTTTGAACTCTTTTGTGAATTGAGACCACTAGCAGTAATTTTCAGAACTGTCTGGAACATCCAAGTCAAAACAAAGAAATGAGTTTATTCTGTAGATACAGAGACATCAGATATTAATAGGACTTTGAGAGTGGAAAACTCCAATAGTTATTTTAAAATCATTGCCTCCATTTGTTTTACTAAGAAATTTAGAGCGATACTATGATTTTGAACTGACTAAAAAAACAATTATAGAAAGAGAAAATCGCTAGGTTAAAAGAAACAACAATAAGCTGGTCGCTGATGTAAAATTTCATTCTACCCGAGCAAATTCCCCTCCTGGTGAAGTAAGATTTTAAGGGAATATCTAAGTTTTTTTATAATGATTAATCTATTGAGATAAGAAAAGGGGACCAACTAAAGTCCGGATAATGTGATGTAAAAGTAAATTGCTTCGTTCCAACAGGAGAAATTTGCAATCTAATATTTTCTTCCGGCACTACTAGTATAATGGACAAGCCAGATTGACTTCTTATCTATGTGCCCCTTCAATGAGGTCATATACAACAGAACAAAGGGAGTATTAATTTCTTGTCTCTTGAGTAATTTGGAAGATTTTAAATAGTATAATTTCTCCAAAAAGATTAATGGAGTCACAGTCCTCAAGTTAGAGCTGGCAAGTAGCTACAAAAATGTGAGAGAGAAGGAACATATTTTAGTTGGATTGCTAAATTTGGCATTCCAGACGCTATTCAACAATGATGAACACAACTCACTATTCATGATACTATTCCCTGCTAGAGATAGGGGAAGGAGAAGAGAGTGAAACATGACAAATGCTCCATTTACCCTGACTGATTTTCTTCTCAATGCTCCAACTTCCACCTTAGCTTGACCCCGGGGAGCCCTGAAGAAAGATAAGCCACAAATTAATTAAGAACATCGAGTTATGTATATGCCAACTCAAGCAGAAAATGTCAAGTTCATAGCTCAACCTACAATGACTTGAGAAAACTTGCCCTGTTAGACCTATACCTCTTACTCAAAGGGATTAATCAATATAATTTACAATTTATAACATTTATATAAGAGCCCAACCAGCGAACTACTATAATTTTTAAGGAGCAAGACAGATTTTTTAATGCTAGCATGTTAATATCAAAAATGTTGCTGCGGAGAAATTAACAACTAGAGCACAGTATTATAGTCACCAGATTCAAGGCAAGCAGCTAGTTTACTTCGAATATTCAATTTTAGCTTAAGTGCAACAATATTACTTGTATTTCAAGCTCGATATGTTTAACCATTACATTTTAGCAAATAATCAGTTTAGTTCTTTTGCTAAAGGATTCTGTAAAAGCAAATAGTTTTACTTGCTACACTTTGGAGCCTTCCTACACTACTGATGGGCTGGTGACTAGATAGTATATGTGTATTCAAGAGATTGCACCCCTTGAATTGCTATTTTTTGAGTGGTTTGGTGGTATAGTTCATGAAAATTCAATGCTTTTTTGTGACATGTCATGTAGGTGGACCAATGATTAAAAAAAGCCAAATTAAAAATATGAAGTGCCCGAAGTTAGACGTGTTTGTGCCAATCTTGAAGTAACCGCGTCATAGGAAAAGTGCAGAGAGAAAATTGAAGAAGCTGACACAGTCAAACCTAACATGCTCATGCCATACAGACAGAATGTTTTGAGCTTACATGGTCACGCGCTGACAGGACCATATAGATCACTGAATTATTTTGAAAGGGTTGTACTGTCATTTAGACATAGTTAAAGGAGGCTACTACAAAAAGAAATTTCTTTAGGGAAAGGGAGTTCAGCTCTAAGGAAGAACTTACGGGTCATTTTGTTGATGGTATTAGAATAACTAGTGCCAATATATAATACTGCACAAAAAACTACAATATTTAGTTGGCCAATAAGAAAAAATAATCACTACATAACTAATGCAACATTTGGTTGGTGTTGTTAAATAATATCTGCATTGAGTTACGTGGAAATCTATATATTATTTTATGCGGGATAGAATGTTAAATAAGAATACGTCTATTAGCAATGCAAGGACTAAACTACTTAAAAGACATTTAAAAAAAAAAAAAAACTTTTAAGTAATTCATGTATAACAATCTGACAATCTCCCCATTATCCATCACCACATAAGAATTTCTTCATTATTAATCAATGCATAAACAATCCTACACTATAATCCCCGCAACTAGTATGAGGACCAAACACCCCTTAGGGTTCAAGGCAAGGAAAGTGGTGACTTGAACTCAAGAAATCAAAACTTTGAAGGAGGAAGAACTTGAACTTGTACAATTTATTGTCAGATTCTCCTCCATGGAGTAGATATCTTTGTTGGTATTTTTGATTTGCTACGGGCTGTCTTAACTCCTCCATGGAGTAGATATCTTTGTTGGTATTTTTGATGAAATTTGGCGTATTAATTTTTTGATTGGTAGGTTGAGAACATGCTCAAATTAGTAATTTAATTGTTCAAATATTATATGCATCATCAACGCATGTATTGGCTTCATGATTTCCGAGAGACATACTATTTGGTGCTTCAGTTCCCCTTCCCCATCTTCTCTCTTTGAAGCACATATACCTCACATGGTGCCTGCTATAGGCAGAATTTCCCATTCTTTCCACCAGGAAATGATTCACTTACAGAAACACGCAGCTGCAGAATAGCTTAGGCCAACAATTTAAGTTGACACAGGAGAAGATTATTTTTTTCTCTGAAAATTGAGCATCTCTGTCATATATGGATCTTGGTGGACTAACATCGCATTCAAGAATCAAGTCTAAACTACTAATGGTCGAAAGAGAACTCTAAGTAAAAGAACTTACATTCTAGCCGAGGCATCACCAACTCGATTTCTCCGGATGTTGCTGTGGTTGCTTAACTGTGGTAAAACATCTCCTGCGGCCTTAGGCTTTGCCAAAACTGAAAAATAGATGAAAAGCCTAGTATTCATCAATGAAGTTATGGTAATGGTACTGAACATCACATACCCAAAGTAGAGCATCTAACCTGAAACACCACTTATTCCTTTGCCTTTCTCCAACTTTTTGGAATTTTCCTAAAAAATATACAGTTTTTACATTGAAAAGACATTTTTCTAATGCCAAAGGTTGCAGCCTTGCAGCACATGATGACAAATTGAGACAAAAGCATAAATATTTTAGTGACAACCTTCTCTTTATTGTTCGTGTCCTCGACGTTCACCTGCTGTAGTATTGGTAAAGACCTCCTTCATGAAAATAAAATAAATGCATCAAGTAAAAGGCAAGTCATAAGCTTATAAAACGTTAATGAAAGATATATGGGACATGTTAGAAACCTTGATGGCGGTAGAGCATTCCTTCCAGTTCTCCTCAATAAACCAAACAAAAAAGAGTTAAAACTTCAAGACAACTAAAGAGTAAAGAGTGTTAATATTACTTTCATCATAGAAGTCAGAGCATATATAGTTATGTTTAAGATACCAAAATACCTGATTCCAGTGGTAACTGGTTTACGGACTTGAATTCTGGTCTTTGGGCCATCAAAGGAGGCTTTCATATCTTTGCGTGGTGCTACCCATACACAAAGGAAACACATTGTTTTGTAAGTTGTAACTGACAATTTTTTCCTATATCCTATTAGTGGAAAAATTCTCACCCTGTGTCAAGATTTGCTTGTCATCAGTAGCTTTATTCAAGTTCGCCCTCACCTTTCCCTATTTTGTGCGGAAAAGCAACAATCTTTTCAGCACCTAATGATATCTAAGAAAGATCACAAGAACCTGAGCAGAAAAAATTTAACTTAAAATACCTAGCATCTTTTTAAAGATCTACCATCACGAGTAGGTTAAAACGAGAGAGAGGGTTGCCTGATACTCACAAACATAGACAAGTTCAGACACCCTTTTTACGTTTACTTAGAATTCTTATTCTTCTCCAGTGAAAGACTATACCAGTTTACATTGAGAAGACATTTTTCTTATGCCAATGATTGCAGACCCCCAGCAGATTGAGACAAAAGTATAGATATATTGAGACAAATTGAGACAAAAGTATAGATATATAATGATAACCTTCTCTTTATTGTTTGTACCCTCGATGTTCACCTGCTGTAGTATAGGTAAAGACCTCCTTCATGAAAATAACATAAATGTGTCAAGTAAAAGACAAGTCATGAGCTTAGAAAACATTAATGAAGGAGATATGGGACACGTTAGAAACCTTGATGGCGGTAGATCATTCCTTCCAGTTGGCCTCAATAAACCAAACAGAAAAGGGTTAAAATTTTGAGACAACTACAGTGATTTAATATTAGTTTCATCATAGAAGACATAGCATATATAAGTATATTTAAGATACCAAAATACCTGATTCCAGTGGTAACTGATTTACGGCCTTGAATTCTGGTCTTTGGGCCATCAAAGGAGGCTTTCATATCTTTGAATGGTGATATACATGCATAAAGGAAATATATTATTTTGTAACTAACAATTCTTTTTCTTTATACTATTAGTTCAAAATTTCTCACCCCGTGTCAAGATTTGCTTGTCACCAGTAGCTCCGTTCAAGTTTGTCCTCACATTTCCCTAGTTTGTACGAAAAAGCAACAGTTTTTTCAGCACCTACTGCTATCTAAGAAAGATCAAAAGAACCTGAGCAGAAAAAAGTTGCTAATACTTAAAATACCTAAGCATCTTTTTACAGATCTACCATCATAAGCAGGTTAAAAAGAGAAAGATGGTCGTGTGATACTCACAAACACAGATAAGTTCAAACTTCATTCTTACGTCTACTTAGACTTCTTGCTCTTTTCCAGTGAAAGACTTACACCTTTTTTCTGCTTCTAAGCCCTTAAGGGAGGATGTCTTAACAAAATAAAATGGTTTAATTTTTTAAATGGTCTTTCATGTCACCAGGACCAGCTTATGTCCTCTACAATGTTAATGATTACAAGTCAAGCTGTAAATAATAAAATTAGCTACATATGCAAAAATATTACACATGAAGTTACTAATATCAAGGGGAATAATCTCGAGAGGTATGTGTTGGTGGGGTTAAACCTAACTACTTGAGCTAGGTCTCATTGGCAAGACTACTCCAATTTTGTGTTCAAAATATTTATTATTCTTTTCTAGGTAAAAAAACAAAGAAGGTTTTTGTTCGCAGAAATGGGTGCACATAAAGAGCTTCTAACAGCAAGGTTTTGTTCATGTCTTGCTAGCCATAGCTATTATACAAAGCAAAGAAAAGACAAGGGGATGCGGACCAGGAATCTTGTCCAGAAATGCCAAACATTTGGAGCCCTTGACTCAAAGGACCAGACAACTAAATCAGCGTCCTTCAGAAACAACTCTTATGCACCCAATCCCAAGCACATTGAGGCTGGCTACATGAATCTCACTATCCATGTTGCTTCATTTAAACGGGCCTTGGTCCAGTAATCCAATATTATTATGAATATTAGTTTCTCTAACACTAGAAGTGCTCTAATTCTTCTACTGGCATATAAATTTCTAACAAGACTAAAAGGATCCAGCAAACATTGGACCTAAAGTAAATGTACTAGCATGTCTAAAACTTAATCATAGCTGATTGGTTTGCCTATATAGATCTTTTTCTTCTATTCTGTCCTATTCCTCGCTAGGTCTACATGGATTCCAAGAGATTGTAGGCCTTTTGAGACAACTTTCTTCCATGTGATTTAGGTCTACCTTGTACACATATGGACCGGGGCATCTAGAGGTCGATATAGGACAAGAAATCCATCTCAATGGACATTTCTCATTTTATCCTTTGTATGCTACTTGCTCCTTCCGGAGAATGTGGTCATTTTTTATCTTGTCTAATCTTGTATGACACAAGTCTATCTTAGCATCCATATTTCTGTGACACACATATATTGTGGATATGTTAGACTTTAGAGGCCCAACATTTACTCTTATATAACATTGTTGGTCTTACAACTCTTCTACTGAACTTGCCTTTCACTCTACTAGGTATATTTCTATCGCATAACACTATGGTAGCACTTCTCTATTTCAACCAACAACAACAACAACAACAACCCAGTAAAATCCCGCGAGTGGGGTCTGGGGAGGGTAGTGTGTACGCAGACCTTACCCCTACCCCGAAGGGGTAGAGAGGCTGTTTCCGAAAGACCCTCGACTCAAGATAATAAAAAGAAGACAAAAGGAGAGGATATTAGATTCATCACGGAGATCATAGGGAAAATAAGAACATAAAATGCAGAAGAAAAATGCAAAGCAAAAACGGTGGTTAGTAAATGGATCCAACGTCGAAAAAGAAAATAGTAAGACACGACATTGCCTCCTAACCTACAACCGTATACTCGACCTCCACAACGTCCTATCAAGTGTCATGTCCTCGGAAATCTGAAGTCTCGCCATATCCTGCCTGATTACCTCTCCCCAATACTTCTTAGACCTCCCCATACCTCTTCTCGTGCCTTCCACAACCAGTCGCTCACACCTCCTTACTGGAGCATCTGGGCTTCTCCTTTGTACATGCCCGAACCATCTGAGCCTCGCTTCCCGCATCTTGTCCTCAATGGGAGCCACGTGCACCTTCTCCCGAATATCATCATTCCTAATCTTATCTATCCTAGTGTATCCGCACATCCACCTCAACATCCTCATCTCTGCTATTTTCATCTTTTGGATATGTGAGTTCTTAACAGGCCAACACTCAGCCCCATACATCATGGCCGGTCTAACCACCGCTTTGTAGAACTTACCTTTGAGTATCGTTGGCACTCTCTTGTCACACAAGACTCCAGATGCTAACCTCCACTTCATCCATCCTACCCCAATACGGTGTGTGACATCCTCGTCGATCTCCCCTCCCCGTGGATAACCGATCCAAGGTACATGAAGTTGCCTCTACTTGGGATAACCTGTGACTCAAGCCTCGCATCGACGTCCACTTCTCTATTTCAACCATCCTATTTTAATTCTATGTGTAGCATATTCAGCTATCATACGTTTCTCTTGAAACATCGAGCCTAGATATCTTCAGTGTTCGAATTTAGGCATCGCAATCCGTCTACTCTCACCTCAACTTCGCTCTAACTTGCAAGCATATATTCAATCTTACTTTTACTACAGACAAACTTCTCTATAACAGCATCCCTATATAACAATACCTCACTATAAAAGCCAAAATTTTCCGGAACCAATCTTTAAGTTATGTTATAATATATGTTCTCTATAACAACACGTCACTATAACATCCAAAAATATTTGGAACAAACGAGGTTGTTATAGAGAGGTTTGACTGTAGTTCTAAAATCCTTATTCTCTAGAGTGTTTCTCCACCGTTCAAACTTTTGGTTTACACCCTCGCCAATTTCATTAATTAACACGATATCATTTGCATATGGCATATACTGTGGGACATCTTCCCGTATAATGTTAATAAGCTAATCCATAACTAGGGTGAAATACGTACCGGCTCAATGTCAATCCCTGCAATAAAGCCATGGTATGAGAAACTCCTTTGTATCTTCTATTATTGTTCAAATAACATTATAAATATAGATTAAGAATTCAGTCATAAACTACTTTTCCCTTCAAGAATAAATGCTTAAAACCTGGGGTAAAAAGAAGACATGAGATGGCTAAACAAGAAAATAAAAGAGCCATATAGAATAGTATTGAAGTATATAGTTGTTTGCATACCATGATAAATCTTCTTGCTGAATTGCTTGCATTTTTTGGGCATTTACCATCTGACACCCTAAAAAGCAAGTGAAAAAAGTAAGCATGTATTACACGATTGTGTTAAGAAAACCGAAGCATCTAGAGAAAAAAAAATATTTAAAAGAGGACAAGATAGCCATTATGAAGCACCTAAAGATATGAAACTAAAGAACCAAAATACCGGTAGGAGTCAGATCATGCCAAACTAAGCTCAATCAAATGGCGATTAATGATTTTAGAAACCATAGGAAGTTCAAACTATAATCTTTTCAATATTTTTCTTATGACAGTGGTATTCGGGCTAGCTTGTGCGCACCTCGACTGTTTTACCAGCTTGGGAAAAGATGGATTGTTTTCAGTAAAATCATATTATCATAAACTTTTAGGGAGGGAGAGCCTAGGATGTTGTCATTGGCACTCATGTGGATCCTATGGAAAGAAATAAACAGGAGAGCTTTTGATGGAATAGAGAATGACCATGCACGCTTGAGGAATAGCCTCTCATTTCTAGTTTCTTTTTTGTGTACCCATGAGTTTCCAACATGTATAAGGGATTGGGTGTTGTTCGTAGAGAATAATATCATAATGTATATTGTATATTCTATATTTTTTTGTATACTACTTGTATATTGGATATTTCCCCATTATTTATAAAATCATTTGCTTTATCAAAAAAAAAAACATAGACATGTCAGGTGAAGCATTGTATATTCTTTTTCTTGATATTCCAGAACAATGTCTACAATTTAGCTCACCAAAGTTACTCCATTTACACCTCTTACTGGGTTAACTGCAGTTCCATGCATGCTTACAATGGCCTCCCAGAGAAGCATTGATAATTGCTATTTCATGATCTAGATTTAATGTGAGAATGGAAGAAGTGAATCAGGAGAGCCATTCTCAGTTTTTTGCAGAAAAGCGTATATATCTATAAGAATTATAATTTGCCCTATATCAATTTTCCCGTAAGAGTATAACTAAGGACTAGAACACAAAACACTAGAAAACCACTTTCAGGAGAGAATTGACAGGATGTTAATCAATCACTTACAGCAGTTTGGAGCTATTATATGATTTGGTTCTCGAAGAGTTGCCCCTGATATTGCTGATATCCGTCAATACTTTTCTTTTGACATTTACCTTAACTGCAAATACAAGTGTACATACTAATAACGGTTCTGAAAACATGAAATGTAGCAACTTTACCAAACAAATTTCACAAAACTTACCACAAGTCCTGCATTTTGCTTTTATCCTCTCTATGTGCTTGATACCCCTCTGTTGAAAAAATGGAGATGGATGGACCAAGAGAAAGTATGACATCAAGAATTTGGGGTATGACGAATTAATTTATTTTACCATCGCATGAAAGCTGTTAACAAGTTTAGGAAATAACGCTCACAGGATACAACAAAACTTCATGAATTCTGCACTGTCAGACACATCGGAACCAAAGTTCAGAGAGGTGAACCCCTACCCATTGTTAGAAAAGACTAAATAGTAAAGTGGCTTGTTTTAATGCCAGACACTTAGCCTTACTTCGAACCAATGCTTAACAGTACTATCAAAGGAGAAAAGCGAAAAAAGAAGTGCACAAGTCTGTTGGGGCTTTAAGCTCAATGTGCTGATAAAGTGAGAACGGCACAAATGAAAATAAAAGATATACATGTAATTCAAGAATGACAAATATAAATCACGAACAACAACTACGAAAAATGGTATTAGAAAAATCATCATTAGGAGAAATACATATTGTTCAGTTCTGTCAATTTCAAGATAACGCGCATGGTGACAAGATGCACGTCTCAATGTCTTGGTGCCGGAACTAAAGGACTGCCTAAGCGAGGCAAAGAACTCAGCCTGTTTTGCATCTAGTTTCAGGCTTAAGTGTGACCCAAGTGAGCCTTTGATAACACAGGCATCTAGGCTACAGGTATGTTTTCTAAAGACCACAAACTTTCACCATATGCCATCACAGTAGTTTTTTTTTTTACTCCCTCCGTTTCAATTTATGTGAATCTATTTCCTTTTTGGTCCGTGCCAAAAAGAATAACCCCTTTCCTTATTTGGAAATAATTTACCTTTATGCAATGATTTATAGTCACACAAAATATATGTGCCTTATTTTACACCACAAGTTTAATGTCTTCTCTCTTTTCTTAAACTACGTGCCCAGTCAAATGGATTCACATAAATTGAAACGGAGGGAGTATTAATTATGTTACCACAGTAGTTCTTTTACCGAAGGTCGCCATGGTTGTCATTCAACAAAGGTCACTAAGATAGTTATTTTGGTTTTTCACAACAAAAATCACCTAGATGACGACATTTTTAATAAAACAATGTCATATTCGTTCTCAGAATTAACATCTTCTAGGATGTGTTGGTACACTACCATATACAACATAGTGACCTTGGAGAAAATTAGGCAAATTTGTTTAATGTGCAGATAAGAGACAAGTGAATTACTAGCAAAATATAACCGTGACTGCCCGGAATAGGCAACTTATTTTCAAAAAAGAAAGAAAGGAAATATGGCAAACCTCCGAGCTCTTCCAACTGGTCTGCACATCACTCATGTTAGGCGCACCAGACTTTCCCCTAAAAACAAAAAAAGAAAGTCTTAAGTTTTTGTCCGCTTTCAACTACCACTCTTAATATATTTTAACACAAGCCAGTGAATTGAAGACTCTCCACTCCTCACATTTTTTCCCCGAAAATCTTTTGGTTTAAACACCCAAGAAATACAAGATAGTAGGCTTACTTGCAGCGCCTGCTGAGAGAATCACGGCTTTGGATTTTTATCTTATCTACCTCTTCGTAAACCTTGAGTTCTGTAACTCCATCTGTAGATGAAACAGTTTCAATTTTTGGAGTATAGTAAGCGGGACTCTAGCCCCTTTTTGGAAAGCAAAAAAAAAAAGGAGGTAAAGGATAATAATAGCAGTAAAAGTCAGAGTGAGAACGAGCTAAGAGTTGATGAAGTAGAATGAAGCACCTTTTATGGTGGATATATGTTTCTGCGAGTTCAATTTACCCTAAACAGATCAAAATTACAAAAAATCAGTAGTAAGTAAACCAAAACTCTACAGACATGACGAGATTAGGAAAAATGTACCATTAAAACCACGGTTGTAAGAATGTGAAGCGCCTCTTTGTTTGAAGATTATTATGAGTTCAAACGGATCTATGGCTCAGATTCAATTGAACAAAGTGCTTTGTGCTTACAGGAATTGGAAATGGGGAGCGGGTTTTCCATGGTTTTTGAATTGCTAATGTGGCTTTTTACAATAATGTCCTCTACCTGTTGCCCGCCCAAACACTATTGAAATCCTCTCTCTACTTTCAGGTAGCTCTGCAGGCCCACAAAGGTGTCAGCCTGCTGCAATCGGGAGAAATTCAAAAATAGCCATATTTACAAGTGGTCATTCAAAAATAGTCACAGTTTTAAAAGTAATCGAAATTTAGCCACTTTTTATGTAAAGATAAATCCGAACGAAAATACTGTTCAAAATCCAGAAAAAATACTCCAACATAATATACTGGAGTTCCAGTATAATATACCGATCCAGTATATTATACTGGAGCCAGCAGAGTATATCGGTCCAGCATAATATGCTGGAAGTTCATACACAACTGCACCAAACTTTAGTATATTATGCTGGACCAATCTCTGTTGCAATAAAATAGTGGCTATTTTTCAATGACTTGGCAAACGCTGGCTATTTTTGAATGATCAGTCCGAAAACTAGCTAGACCATGCTATTTTAACACTACAATCTTCATAAAAAATAGCACGGGCTAGCCAGTTTTTGGACTGGTCAATCAAAAATAGCTAGTATTTGCAAAGTCATTAAAAAATAGCCACTATTTTACTACAACAGAGACCGATCTAGCATAATTGTATGCGGCAAAATCAGAGGATCCAATTTCGTGCTACTAATTCGTTTCAGAAGAATACCTCGAGCCTCGAGGATGTGAAGTTGTGACTGAGTTCCCTCCCTCGAAGCTCGTCGAGGCCCGGCCTAAAGGGAATGTCGATCGAGGATTAGAGTAAAGATGGGAAATTCCCAAGGCACGCGGCTAAGTCTCACAAAGCTGGTCTGCCCGAAACTTGTATCAAGGTGTCACGTTTAGTCGTCTCATCTCCATGCCTTTACAATTAATGCATTTTGTACTATGATGGGATTCCCCTCATAGGGGATCTTTACCATTTTGTAGGGGGTTGTTGTTGCTCCAACCATTCTACACCACATAAATAATAGCTCTCTCTCTCTCTCTCTTTTCTCTCCAACATATTCTCTCGGTATTATTGCTCGTATTTATTGCCTTCATATTTGTTCTTTATTTATTTCTTGTTATTGGCCATAAAGAGCCTCTCTTGATTATATCCCAATTGTTAGCCCCTTCCCAATTATCCCCGATAGCTCGAGCTCGAGCCCGAGCCCAGGCATCGCCCTCGAGGCCCCTCATCGGTTAGCCTGAGGCCCGAATAGCTAACCCATCGGTTCGATTATAACTCTATTTTAGCTCGCATTTCATCTTTCATCTTCACATATCTAGCATCAACTGTATAAATAACTAGCATAAAAATAGATCACGTATTTTTAAAGCCTCATTTACAAATTTAATTGTTATTACCATTTTTACGGTAAACAGTTTGGCGCCCACTGTGGGGCTAAAAATAATAGTGATTATTTTCTTGCTGGTTTCGTGACACAATGCAAGTTATCTTTCACACTTTTTCTTGTCCAAGATCTTCGATTTCATATCAAAATGTCTGGCTCAGTGAATAGAGTTGAGAAAGACAACCTTGAAAACCACACAGAAAATGGTGTGGCTATTCCAATTATTGGCGCGCCACCACATAACCTCGACAATGCGCCTGGACTGATTCTAGCGGACGCGGGTTCGCAAAACGCACAGCAGGTCAACGAAACCTCACACACCGACAGGAGCGTACAACATGGAGACCAACAGGAAGCCCAAAAAACCCCAACTCGGGAAGAACGGGAAGTTAGACTTCATGTTATGTTTGAAATGTTACAAGCACAACAGTTGGCTATCGCTCAGTTGCAAAGCCGCCCGAAGACTCCCAGCACGGTAGCACCGGGGACTGCTCCCCCAGCCGAACAGATACCTAAGAGATCGAGCAACAACAGATCGATAACCAACCCTGCCATCGTGAAAATGCTCGAAGACCTCACCAAAAGGATCAAATCGGGCGAGAAAATAATAGCAGCCAAAGATAAGAAGGTCGAGACCTACAACTCCAGGGTCGACCAGATCCTGGGCGCACCCTCGGTCCTGAAGGGTGTGGATTCGAAGAAGTTCATACAAAGGTTGTTCCCCGAAGAAGCATCCCCGAAACCCATTCCAAATAAGTTCAGAATGTCGGAACTCCTAAAGTACAACGGGACCTCATACCCCAATGAACATGTTACTGCCTACACTTGTGCGGTAAAGGGCAATGATATAAAGAACGATGAGATCGAGTCCGTATTGCTGAAAAAGTTCGGGGAAACACTCTCGAAGGGGGACATGACGTGGTATCACAACTTGGCTCTAAAATCCATAGATTCATCCGCCATGCTAGCAGACTCCATTGTAAAGGCACATGCTTGTGCCATCAAAGTAGCGACGAGGAAGTCCAACGTTTTCAAAATTAAGCAAAGGGAGAACGAGATGCAGCGAAAATTTGCATCTCGCTTCCAAACGGAACGAATGGAACTACCCTCGGTCTCCGACGACTGGGCGGTGCAGGCCTTCACTCAAGGCCTGAATAAACGAAGCTTAGTGGCCTTAAGGCAGCTGAAAGAGAATCTGATCGAGTATCCCGCAGTAACCTGGTCAGACATCCACAACTGGTACCAGTCAAAGATTAGGGTCGAGGATGACCAGCTGGGAGCCCCCTTGGGCTCAGTATATCCGAGCAGACTCCTGGCGAAGGAGTCAAAACTGAACAAAAAGAGGTATCAGCTGTACCCCAAAGATAGGAGAAATGCCCAGAGACGCAATTCGCCTCGCAACGATCGATTGGTGAACTGAGGACAGAACCCTTAAGGCGGATTCGATGGGGACACGGGGCCAACGGGGGAACCTCGCCTATTAGAACACAACTTCAGCATCGATGTGTCGGACATCGTGTTCGCCATCAGCAAAATTAGGGACGCCAAATGGGCCAGGCATATTCAGTCAGATCCTTCCTAGAGGAATCGCAACTTAGTATATGGACTTCATAACACGCACGACCAAGAAGAACGAAACAAATGAGCCACGACGTGTTATCCACGTGATATTGGGGGCGTCGACACTACCTAGTAAGCCGTGATGAGAAGGACAAAAATATCTATCAGCAGAGAAAAGTGAACTCGGGGATACGTACCCGAAGATGCCCTCACATTCAGCAAGGAGGACTCTGAAACCTCGTTCCAAGCTCATAACGACACACTGGTAACCTCTTTCCTCGTTAATTCATTTCGAATAAAACACGTGCTCGTGAATCCAGGTAGCTCAGCCAACACTATAAGGTCGAGGGCAATAGAGCAGCTCGGACTACTAGACCAAATTGTGCCCGCCACTCGAGTCCTTAACGAATTCAATACAACGATCGAAACAACTAAAGGAGAGATCACTCTCCCAATCAGCGTGGCTGGCACGACCCAAAACGTCAAATTCTATGTCATCGAATGAGACATGAAATACAATACCTTATTCGGAAAGACCAAGGATACACCGCATGAGAGCAGCACTATCCACCCTCCACCAAATGATGAAATTTCCGACAGAGGATGGGGAAACCATCTACGGGGAACAACATGCAGGAAGGGAAGTGTTCGCAGTACGTAACATAGCGTCGGCGCCAATATCTCCGCTCTCAAAAGAGCCAAAGGATAATCGAACTATGTCTTGGGCTAAGCCCGATTAAACACAGGAGAGGACCGTACTGAGTCCTCGCTATAAACAATAGGGACACATCAGACCTCAGAACATCGCCGACGCATCCCACGATAAGGTAAGGCCACCTCCTTTTTTCATTATTTTACACTAACCTATATGCAGGCGCCCGATCAGGGTGGTCGAAAGTGCTAACCCAACCCGAAGATCTCAAGGCCTTAAAGGCGTCTGTTGCACTCTTTTTCTTCGACCGAGCTTTTATCCCGAAGAGGGTTCCACCGGCAAGGTTTTTAACTAGGCAACGATTCACGCGCTACCTAAGGAGGATCCGATAAGTGTACAAAGTTTTTTTTCGCAGTCAACCCCAAATACTAAAGAGCACCCCCTTGAGAGGTCATCCACTCGGAAGAACCAGGGAACGATAAACAAGGTTCCACTAAGAAATGATGTACTGGGTCAAACGATCAAATGAACCGTGTCCGCATAAGTCGGGCTCACGGCAACAAAACAACATGTACTTATGCAAAAAAATCAATAAATATCTTTCGCCAAAGCATCTCGTACTCCAAAGGAAATTCAGCATTTTCACAGCAAGGATCCCTCCATCGAGAACGCCCTGAAGCACTCGGAGACTTGCGTCAATAAATCGGCACCCGCATGGCCTCAAGGTCAGAACTCCAAAATCATAAGCCCTCAACGAGGCAGCACGGAAATCACAAAACATCTCCAAAAGGGAAAAATGTCCCGAACACTCGGAAACTGGCATCGCAAACTCAGAAAGCGCATGACCTCAAGGTCGGAATCTCCAAAATCATAAGTCCTCTATGAGGCAATTCCGAGCTCACGAGTAACGGCCCCCGAGCCTAAGCAAACTTGATGACTCGGAGACTGTCGCCAATCGCCATTTATTTAAAAACACGGGGCCATAAGACCCCGAGCGGCAGACTCGGTCTAGTAAGACCTATTCAAGGCAACAATGAAAAAGACCTCAAGCAAGGTATGAATCATACTTGTACCAAGTATCAACAAAACTGTAAGATCTCAAGCAAGGCATGAATCATACTTGTACCAAGTATCAACAAAATTGTAAGACCTCAAGCAAAGCATGAATCATACTTGTACCAAGTATCGACGAAACTGTAAGACCTCAAAAGGCATGAAAATTTTGTAAGACCTTACTACAAGCATAAACTCAATCTCGAAGTTTAGGCTATATGTCGCATTTGTAAGACTCCCGAAAGGGCATACCCTCGATATAGATGCCTAAACTACTATACTCGGGACCAAAAAATGGCTCCGGCCAAACATAGATGACTACGGTCATACGGCTGTACCAGCCGAATTAACGCGACTCGGGGACGCCCGACCGT